TTATGGCAGGGTGGGAGGTTGAGGCAAATCGCCTGGCCGCTGATTACATGCAGCCAGACACCAGGGCGGTTAGAAGAGTACAGCAGCGGTGCGCATCAGAGAAGCTTTGAAAACCAGTTTTGTGACTGGCCAGGCTACGGTGTGAAACTTCTGTTTGTTTCTCCTTGATGAACCCCCCCCCCCGGTTCACTCTACTTCCCTGTAAGCTAACCACCCTCCCCTCCCCCCTTCGAGCACCGCTTGCAGAGGCAATAAAGTCATTGTTACTTCACATTCATGCATTCTTTATTAATTCATCACACAACTAGGGGGATAACTGCCAAGGTAGCCCGGGAGGGGTGGGGGAAGAGTGAAGGACAAGGACACACTGCAGTTTAAAATTTTAAAACGTTAACTCTTATTGAAGGCCAGCCTTCTGATGCTTGGGCAATCATCTGGGGTGGAGTGGCTGGGTGGCCGGAGGCCCCCCCACCATGTTCTTGGGTGTCTGGGTGAGGAAGCTATGGAACTTGGGGAGGAGGGCTGTTGGTTACACAGGGGCTGTAGCGGCGGTCTCTGCTCCTGCTGCCTTTCCTGCAGCTCAACCATACGCTGGAGCATATCAGTTTGATGCTCCAGCAGCTGGAGCATCGACTCTTGCCTTCTGTCAGCAATCTGACGCCACCTATCCTCTTCAGCCCACCACTTGCTCTCTTCAGCCCGCGATTCAGCCCACCACCTCTCCTCTCATTCATATTGTGCTTTTCTGCACTCTGACATTGACTGCCTCCATGCATTCTGCTGTGCTCTGTCAGCATGGGAGGACATCTGGAGCTCCGAGAACATATCATCCTGAGTCCGCCGTTTTCTCCTTCTAATCTTCACTAGCCTCTGCGAAGGAGAAATATTTGCAGCTGGTGGAGGAGAAGGGAGAGGTGGTTAAAAAAGACACATTTTAGAGAACAATGGGTACACTTTCACGTTAAATTTTGCTGTTCACATTACACAGCACATGTGCTTTCGTTACAAGGTCGCATTTTTCCTCTTATATTGAGGGCCTGCCGGTTTGGTGTGAGAGATCACTCACTCAGAGCCAGGCAACAGAATTCGGCTTGCAGGCAGCCATGGTAAGCCACAGTCTTTTGGCTTTTTTAACCTTCATAACATGTGGGAATGGTTTCAAACAGCAGCGCCCTCATTTCCCATACCAAGCACCCGTTGGGTTGGCCATTTAAAATGGGTTTGCAATGTAAAAGGAGGGGCTGCGGTTTCCGGGTTAACATGCAGCACAAACCCAACTAACCCCCCTCCCTCCCCCACACCCAATTCTCTGGGATGATCACTTCACCCCTCCCCCTCTCCCCCTTCCCCCCCGCGTGGCTAACATCGGGGAATATTTCTGTTCAGCCGAGCAGGAACGGGCACCTCTGAATGTTCCCTTAATAAAATCACCCCATTTCAACCAGGTGACCGTGAATGATATCACTCTCCTGGGGATAACAAAGAGATATAAGGAATGGATGTTGTCTGCATGCCAGCAAACACCGGGACTATACGCTGCCATGCTTTGTTATGCAATGATTCCAGACTACGTGCTACTGGCCTGGCATGGTAAAGTGTCCTACCACAGCAGACGGGATAAGGCAGCCCACCCCAGAAACCTTTTGCAAAGGCTTTGGGAGTACATCAAGGAGAGCTTTCTGGAGATGTCCCTGGAGGATTTCCGCTCCATCCCCATACACGTTAACAGACTTTTCCAGTAGCTGTACTGGCCGCGATTGCCAGGGCAAATTAATCATTAATCATTAAACATGCTTGCTTTTAAATCATGTGTAATATTTACAAAGGTACACTCACCAGAGGTCCCTTGTGCGCCCTCAGGGTCTGGGAGCACGCCTTGGGTGAGTTCGGGGGTTACTGGTTCCAGGTCCAGGATGATAAACATATCCTGGCTGTTGGGGAAACCGGTTTCTCCGCTTCCTTGCTGTGAGCTATCTTCATTGTCTTCATCATCATCTTCCTCGTACCCCGAACCCGCTTCCCTGTTGCATGATTCTCCATTGATGGAGTCAAAGCACAGGGTTGGGGTAGTGGTGGCTGCACCCCCTAACATGGCATGCAGCTCCACGTAGAAGCGGCATGTCTGCGGCTCTGCCCTGGACCTTCCGTTTGCCTCTCTGGCTTTGTGGTAGGCTTGCCTTAGCTCCTTAATTTTCACGCAGCACTGCTGTGCGTCCCTGTTATGGCCTCTGTCCTTCATGGCCTTTGGGACTTTTTCTAATATTTTGCCATTTCGTTTACTGCTACAGAGTTCAGCTAGCACTGATTCGTCTCTCCATATGGTGAGCAGATCCCGTACCTCCTGTTTGGTCCATGCTGGAGCTCTTTTGCGATCCTGGGACTCCATCATGGTTACCCGTGCTGATGAGCTCTGTGTGGTCACCTGTGCTCTCCACGCTGGGCAAACAGGAAATGAAATTCAAAAGTTCGCGGGGCTTTTCCTGTCTACCTGGTCAGTGCATCTGAGTTGAGAGTGCTGTCCAGAGCGGTCACAATGAAGCACTCTGGGATAGCTCCCGGAGGCCAATACTGTCGAATTCCGTCCACACTACCCCAAATCCGACCCGGAAAGGCCGATTTCAGCGCTCATCCCCTCGTCGGAGGTGGAGTAAAGAAACTGGTTTAAAGGGCCCTTTAAGTTGAAAAAAAGGGCTTCGTCTTGTGGACATGTCCAGGCTTAATTCGATTTAATGCTGCTAAATTCGACCTAAACTCGTAGTGTAGACCAGGCCTTAGAGAGCTGATTTTGAACTTTGCTGACAGCTGCTACAGACAGCAGTCTGGATTGATCTTGGACTCTTGTATGATTTTTTTCTTCATTAATCTTTGGTGTTAAAGTTTGTGGGCCAAATTTTCCTCTTAATTTACATGCAAGCAAAACCATCATCTTTAGTGGACTTGTACAGGGTGTAAAAGATAGCAAAATTTGGACCAGTAGGCGTTAAAAGAAACCCAAATAGGTAGTTTGTGATTCCTCAACAGACAGCAGATGTAAACCAGACAGAAACATTGGACTCACCAGACCATAACAAACCACTGTCCATCTAGTTTGTCATCTACCTTCAGCCATGGCCAGTACCTAATGATTCGAAGATGAAACCTCCACACCAGCCAGTTGTTTTGGGGTTACAGCGACATGCAATCCACTTGCCCATTTAGCTAAGGATGGCTCCAGGGCCCACATATGGCTGTAATCCCACAGGGATCACATGTTCCAAGAGTCACCTCTCTACTGGCAGCAACCCAGGTCTAAGTACTCTACTCATATTTAGTTGCTGTGAGAACAGATTGTTCTGGGGAACATGTATATTCCACAGTGGAGGATCAGTGAGAGAACATAATCTTCATTTATCTTTTTTGATACAATTTATTCAGCGTGGGCGAAATTCCCTCCTGTACAGAGGGATGGCCAAGGTACTGTTATGAGCTGGGTGAAACAGAGTTAAAAGCTCCTTGAGACTGGGCATGAACACACCCTTCAATTACCAATACTGTCAGGATAAGTTAATCACAAGCTCCCTCCACCCAAGACAAAAGTGGTTCTCATCCTGCCCAGGAGTTTTGGGCAGAGGTGTTTTGCTGAGCATTGTCTGGGTAAGTGTGTGCGTGTGTTGGGTATGTTTACATTCAAAACACTGCAGCTGCGCCACTGTAGCGCTTCAGCATGGACAGTACTTATGCCGATGGGAGGGGTATTCGCATTGGCGTAGGTAATCCACCTCCCCGAGAGGTGGTAGCTAGGACAATGGAAGAATTCCTCTGTCGACCTAGCACTGTCTACACCGGGGGTTAGGTCAGTCTAGCTACATCTTTCAGGGACATGGATTTTTCACACCCCTGAAAGACGTAGCTATGCCGATGTAAGTTCCTAACGTAGATCAGCCTCAGTGTCACCAATTTTTCCTCTGAACTGGAAAGACCTATTAGACCCTGAGTTTTTGGCTAGCTGCTCAGGTCAGAAGTAGGGATGTAAAATATCAAATGGTTAAACTGTTATCCGGTAAGTGTTAGTCTTACCATTAACCCACCCTAAATGTTAAACCCCGGCGTGCCGGCTGGAGCATTTCCAGACCCTCTCCCTTTAATCAGTTAACCAGTTAAATGATATAATTTTTATCGTTTAAATAGTTAGCTATTTAAACAATATTTACATCCCTAGTCAGAAGGGGTAACAGTACTACTTATGCCTTACTTAAAACCTGATGTAAAGCCCATTGCAGTTATTTAGAAAGAATCCCATTAACTTCAGTGGGCTTTGGATCAGGCCCTTAAGCCCTATATTGAGGGCTGAAGTGGGCACAAAGTTGTGCACAGGCCCTCTGCACTGGACTCCATGTGAGCCTAAAGAGGCAACCTAATGAGGAGATTCTCTTAATTCTATCTGTAATTCTATCCTTTACAGTTAAATCTCAACAACTGATTTGGGGCCTTCAGTAGTATCTAAGCCTTGTGTCTAATACACAGTATCTGGATCTCCTAAGTAGATAGAGCAGTTCTTGTGCCAATTCTCTAAAGAGGCTGACTCATTCAGATATAGCCAGTGCTTATAAATGGAAGAGCTGCACTGAGCCTGCTAGAGATTTGGGTTTTGATAAAACCCATAACTCAGATCTACAAGAGACTTAATTTGATGTAGGAAGTAGAAGGAGACAGTGTAAATCTGAGTTCTCTGCTTATTACAATGCCAATGTTCTGTAATAGAATCCCCTGCTGGTTCCTCTTGGGCACTCAGAGATCCAGATCTGCCCTTCCCACTGACACATCACTGCAGTAATTCATCATGTGCCTATTCCGCCAGCTGCAGAAAAGATTTCTGCATGCTTAACAGGAGGATGCTGAATTCACAGCAAAGCATCACAGCAGAGAAAGCAGGTTGCTGCTGTAAAACACAGTCACATCATTGTTTAATGGGTCTGTTGTCAACAGTTGATTATAAATAAGATTTTAAAAGGATGCCTTACCAGCCGTCATCCTAGTGGAGTCTGATGCTGCCGTCACAGAACTCCCTGGCAGTGATTCAGTTTTCCCTGCTGATATTTTGGTAGGATAAATGACAGTATGTTAACCACTGTTCTCAACACATATTTGTCAAAGGAATAATCAGCAGGAAAGCAAGGGGGGAAAACTGGAGCTGTTCTGTAAATCTGCTGTCTGAGCATCAGGTTTTGCCTACTACTTGTGTCCAATAGCCCTTCATTTTCTTTTAATGAACTGAAATTTTACATATATCCTCTCTTGATCTCAGGGTGAATTACCACTTATCTTATATACAATCCACATACATTTCAGTTTTTCCACATAGTGCTCTTAATTTCCCTCCCCGCAGGCTGCTAGCTAACTACTTTTGATATTAGAACCACATCAAATAAGCCAAAAATGATTGTGAAGTGCAGAGAACATCAAAACCAAAATTATCTGTGTGTAAAAAATGATGTATAGTCAACCATCTTAGTAATTCATAGACACACTTCAGAAATTGAGGCTACTTTGGTTAAGCATCTTTCAGGCCAAAAGAAACAGTGTGCGTTTCCAGTCAAAATCTTTCTATTTCCCGTAAGAGATTTTAAGTGGAAAAGGAAGTGATTTCTGTGGAGCTTATTCCTTACACATACACACACGGAGGACCAAATTTTATAAGAGGATTCACTCAGGCCTCTAATTTTGCACCTATAGTCAACAGCACATGCAGCTGATTGCAGATGTGAATAAAACCCAGCTCTTATCAGCACAACTCAAAAGCACGTTATAAAGGAAGTCAGCATCATTATCCCCATTTAACAGATGGGGAATCTGAGGCACAGAGCAAGGAAGTGACTTTTCCAAGGTTACCCAGCAGGCCAATGGCAGAACCAGGTCTCCCGAGTTCTAGTCCAGTGCTCTATCCTCTAGGGCATAGTGCAACATCAAAATCCTCAGGGACTGGGATGCCCAATCCCCATTCAAATTAATGGTAAATCATTGTTCCAATAATCAAGGCAGCTTTGAAAACCTCACAGTAAATGTCTACTTGATTGTGCCCCTGGTAGTCAGAGGTCTAAAGTATATTAATTATAGAATTCAAATATTTATATACACACTTGATGGTGTCTGGTCTTTTGCATCTGTAGTTCACTACAAACAAAAATACCAGAGAGACAAAGCGGGTGAGGTAATATATTTTATTGGACCAACTTTTGCTAGTGAGAGAAACAAGCTCTGGATCTTACACACAGCTCTTGTTTGGGGCTGTGGACTGCAGGGCAGATGCAGTAGTTTTGATTTAGTAAAAGCTACTGGGGTTGTCCTCAAATATTAATAAAAGACAAAGGAGAGTGGCCTAATATGTTTGGCCTAATATATCAATAAACAGAGGGAGAGGGAAAGAGTCCCTGTGGAGGGGAAGAAATATGGTAGACTGAGAAAAGAGGCTATTTCATTCTTTCACAAAGCACACAGACGTTGTGAGGGCTTTTTCCAAATTTATAATGAAAGGTGACAGCAGCAACAGAAATAGTAGCAGAGATGGGGAGAGCTGTCAAATCTCTGCTGTGTGGATAGGATCATCTTCTGGAGCTTTTACCAGGGGTTGGCGTGGGGAAAGTGATTTCCCCAGTTAAAAAGCAATATATATGTTCTTTTGCAGAAAGTCCTAATTTTTATTATAGATCCAGCCTAGTGGTTTTTTTAAGGTGAAATTTAAAATTTCATTAGGCAATCTTGAATTATTGTCATTTGTACTCTGAGACACACTGAAGATGGGGTGGTGGGAGGGAATGAAGAGTAATTGAAAAAGAAAGGTAGTGGCCAATATTCTAATAGACTAGTCTCCATATTATGGGGAAAATTCTGGTCTGTCTTGTGTACTTGTCACAGTGGGAAACGAGGACACAGGAAACTCCCTCCCCCCCCAATCCCTCCAGTGGGCAAATAAAGATGGTGGAATGCAGGTAATGAAGCCACGATCACCTTTCGTGAAAAATTATGAGGTTTCAAAATTTGTTTCCATTCTGCATCAAAACAAGAGTGACTCACCCCAGAATAGCCAATTGAACATTTGGGATGCAGGAAACCTAGGTTCAAATTCCTGCTGTTAATCAGGCAGAATAGTGATTTTAAACTGGGTCTCCCTCTCCCATCCCAGGTAAGCGACCTACCAGTCTTGCTATTCTGCAGTATCGCTTTCATCAGAAATTCCATCCTGGACTTGAAATACCTTCCCAACAATATTTTTTGTCAAAACTGTTACATTTCTGCAAAACATTCTGGCTTTGATGAAATTGCATTTTGGGATGGAAAAAAATTTGTTGATTTTTTAAAAATCCAACACTACCCTTGCCCTCCAGAGACAGCTATATACTGTCTTATTAATTTGCAGAAGCAGTTGGAGGGCGGGGAGATGGATGGAAGAAAGCTTGCTGTGTTTCTTCTCCCCCTAGAGTGGGCATGCAAGAAAGGCCACCCTTCATGTTGTTTCCAATCAAGACCTTAACAGTGAATGAAAATTGAAATTACCCTACTTTGATTATGGGGCTAAATCCCACAGTCCTTAATGAAAGCTCCCATTGATTTAAAGAGAGTAAAGGTTGGGTAAGGACTGCAAATATAATCAGGGAAAATTTGCTTCTTTGGTAGTCGTCTATAAATGGGAATTAGTTGGTTAAATTGAACATTTTAATTTCTTACTCCAAGTGGCAGGTAAGTAAGTAAGATCACATAATAAGCACCACCCATTAAGATGCAGACAGGCTGAGGGTGTGTTGGGTGGACAGGGAAAATCATATCAATTGAAATGGTCCTGAATTAAAATGTCAGCACCCATTTCAATTCAAATGCCCAAAAATTTTGAGGCCCTATATCTTTGGGCCTTTTCCAGCTCAAGGCCATCTCTATGTATTAATGTATGTTTTGCTTATGGAATATACCACTCACCAGACTTCCCCCACTTTCTTTCTTCCCTATTGCTTCAAAATATTAAAGAGGTTTCCAAGCCTGGACTACTCCAGGGTATCAATACTGACCACCACCTGGAACTAAGCTGCACAGACAGGCATGCTTTTCCTCATCAGCATTTCCTCACATGCCAGGAGCCCTACCTGTCGGTATGTTTTAGTTCCAGATGGCTGTGCTGCACTGATACCCTTGAGTCAGGAACCTCTATCAAACCAAAAGGAGCCACATTAGTGATTTTTGCTTAGGGCTTTTGACACTTTCTCCCACACTTCAACAGCTTCTGCATTGGGAATATTTTAGCCTGTTGTTCACCCATGCTTTCTGCAATAACAGAACCTGAATGCTGGTCAAAATACAGTGGAAAAGGAGGACCAAACACATTAGACTGTTCAATACAAAGGCAAAGCCTGAATTTTGATGCGTACAGAATTTGAAGGTGTAACTGACAAGTAAAAGAGAGGACTAATTTTCAGGCCCAAAGGGTGGGGACTGGGAGTAATATTGTTACTATTGTTAATATTGTTAAAATTGTTACTCTTCCCTAGCCTAAATTATCCTATGCTCACTTTGAAGCAGTTAAATCCATTAGATTATAGAACACAGATTTAAGGAAAGAAAAAGAAGCCTTGGTAACTTATACCATTTAAAACTAGACTCAACAAGATTTTGGAAAATATGCTGGGAAGCCATCACGCACTATTAGGGTGCTGGACTACATAACCAAATAAATATTTCCATCTTTAAGTTCTATGATAACTTAAAAAATGAATATTTTAAAGGCCCCAATTCAGTGAAGCACTTAAGCAAGCTATATGGTGAAGTCCTTTCCTATTTGGTAAAGCATCTAAGCATATGTAAAAAGTGCATCCTTCAGTGTTTTGCTGAAACGGGGCCAAAGTATTATTCTAGCTTTGAAAAGTAATGGTGAAAATAGCACCTTCTTACTCAATAGATCTGCTCAGAGTCATATCTATTTACTTTAGGGACAAAAGTTTGTACTAAATTTAACTCCCTTTTCAGTTAACACAGCCGAGGGAGAGGCAGCTGGCTTCTATTCCTGCTTGTTTGTAACAGGGTCAGCTCTGTAGCACCCTGCCTCCATTTTCCTCTCAAAGCTCCTTAATAAATGCCACACTGATCTGTTTTGATCCAGTACTAGAACTGTGTAAAATCTGGGCTTTATTGTTTACATATGGGAATGCTATTCTGGGACCACTCTGATCACTTTATATGGTCATGTCTTGATTATCCACTGTCTTTTAAAAAACAGACAAACCAAAGACCTTATCATCCCACCTCCTCAAATTACAAGGTTGTTCAAATCCAGTGCATTGGTTCAAAGCCATCTCTCTCATAAAAAATGAAACATTTTACTGTCTGAGCCACTGGAGTAGGACTTCATTATGGAGACGTTTACTGTGGAATGAAGTATCTGAGAAGTAAACTTAATAGCTAAGAGAACACTTGCTCTCAAATCCCTAATTTTACTGCCAGAACTACATTGTTTGTGCTCTCTACTGTTCCACACTATTGTTTAGAAATGCAGCCTCCAATGGGTTCAACAGCTGGTCAGCAACACTTGTCACTACTAGTTTTGTCACTTGCTTCTGTTATTGATGATGGTGATGTAGTGACCTGTGTTGGTTGTTGTGAAGAGCTAGTCTGGGAAACTGGTTCCCAGGTAACATTTGAAGCAACTGAAAGAAAGAACATTCAAGTTCTTTATTTTACCTATTCTCCCCACTCCCCCACCCCAGTACATGTAGCATCTCTATCACATATCTCTAGGCCCACTTGCATTAATATCTTTTTTAAAACACCATAATTCATCTAAATTGACAACATCAGCAATACTGAAAGAACTCCCCTCTCCACACAGAAAACCAGCAAACCAGAATACACCACCCATGCTCCCAGTCCCTAATAACTCACTCCACTAAGGAAAAGCCTATCTAAATACACGGGGTAAAATCCTAGCTCCACTGAAGACAATGGCAAAACTACCATTGATTTCAAAGGGGGCTGGATTTCACCCATTAACTTGGCAGCATATGAGGGCTGCTTGCCAAGAGTGCCCCTGTGACATCTGACATCTGGGATTTCCCACTC